TTATTTACTTCATTAATTTATCCCCAGTCGGGATGGTTCTTTATGTTATGCATAGGATCTTCAGTTTTCATGGACTGGAAACTCGGGTTTTACGATTCCTTATTTATGGTTCTTACTGGTATGACTTTCTTCTCGGCCTCGCAGGTGTAGTGAAGGGCAGATCTCGAATAATGGATTTCGAGACGATAAGCAATGAAATGTTCGAATCGGCGATGGTTACGACTAGCCCTGATGATAGAAAACGGGTAGAACGCGGTGCGTTGGGGGGTGGCACTACCTGTCGGCTCAATAATAGCTCGCTGACCTCGGCTCTTTTCGTTTTAACGAACAACCATCGCAAGGTCAGGGCCAATTGCGCATTGATCTGAATTCGTAGAGTGAATGGGGAAACTTTGAACAGAAAAAAAGACGAACGAGCGGTAAAGAAGGACTTTCATAGTACTTCTCTTCACTTCGATTACTCTACTGGTATTAACGTTATTGCTTGGGTTGTTCAGATACCAATTTTGTTGGTAAATTCCCATTATATTGAGCGGTTTATGAGGTGTGAACCTCGATCCAAGTGACCAGCTAGGGCTGACGAGATGAAAGTGATTGATGGCTTGCTGTGACTGGATGGGGGCTTTTCGCCGTGCGACTCACTGACCAGTCAGTCCTGGGTTGACGATTTCGTCATCTGGCACTACTCTATCGGGAACCAGCGCCGTGTGTGCGTCGATGTGTGTTGATATTTGTGGATTTGTGTGCCGGAATAGCCGACGCGACTAAAACGGACGATCGTGGGGTGTCAGAGAGCAAGAGCTGATGAGGAGGAAGTCTGAGGTCGAGTGTTATCGAGTTGGACGCAGAGAAAAATAGATTGTCGTGTGCGACGGCGGCGTCGGCGGGGGCCGCGGCCTGGTACGGACAGGCGGCGGGGCGCAGCCCTTATTGCTGAACGCGCTCCCTCGCTAACATAGCTTCCATCCTTCCATGAAACTGCATGGCTAAGAGCCGATCTTTCAATTTTAGAGGTAAGCACCACCCACGTACTCCGCACATTCCACTCGTCGTTCATCATTTTTTCCTTAAAGTTTCATTTTGTGTGGGGAGAAACCAGTCGCACACACACATGAAGGGCGGCTTGCAAGCGTGGAACGGTTTTTATCCGACACACGTGCATGATTTTTCTTTGCAACACGGCTTTGTTCCTTTGGCTGGGAAGGCCAAAAAACCCCTTCGGACGGTTATGTTATCAGATTAGCTGTGAGCTCGAGTAAATCAATTTAATTATGAGGAAAAAAGCTGAAGAAAGGCGATTTCTTTCACTTGTTGTTCACTCGTTTAATCTGTTCACTTTCAGAGGAGGGGCTCGGTGACCCTCTTGGAGAGTTTAGCAACCTATCCACTTTCAATTTGCTCGAATTCGTCCATAACGACAAGTGAGTTCTTCATATTTTCTCTCGAATTTTTTTGTTTACAAAATTCCCTCTTCTTGTCTTGAAAGCTCCAATGTTCCCTATGAAAAGCAGATTTCTCTATTTCCACATCTCATCGCCTATTTCATTGTCATTTTCGAAGTCCCAACTGCTCTTGACAAAGGCCGGTCTATTTGCTAGGCCACACGGGGTTGGCGGTCACCGATGTGATATGAATCGATTTTTTTTCTCGAGGTTACCCACTTACTTATGATTACCATTTCAACAACCCTGGTTCCGGCGCCTGGAGAGCGTAGATCAAAAGGGGCGGTGCTTGCCATTGAACGGGAGC